TTGCTGCAATGGACGCGCTCTGACCCTCGTTGGCGTACAAAAATTGGCCATACAATGAAACTACTGGAAGCGGCTTCAGTTCTGATGGAGGAGGCTTTTTGGATAGCGGAAGATAAAGTGTTTATTGTGTTGTACCTTTTGACTATATATTTAAGATGTATTGTATAGTGACCAAGAATCCTCGGCTCTGTTAAGTTAATTCGGTTGAGCCTTATCAAATAAATTAATAAACAAAAAGAACCGATAAAATCGTTGTCCGGTACAACGTCAGAAGATCTTGCGGATGGGCTCCCCACCACGTTCCGGTAATTGATCGAAGGAAATTGATCCTTAGTTGGCATTTTCGTCTCAGATACTCAATGTGGGATCTCCAGGTGCATTTGGAATCGAACCAGACCCCAAGATATTTGAAAGACATGGAATGAGTAATCGGCTTACCCAAAAGTTGAAGCTTCGGTTGTGCTGGGCTATGCTTCCTAGAAAAAACGACCAACTCAGTTTTCTCCGTGGAGAATTCGATACCTAGCTGGATAGCCCAAGTAGACAAATTGTCTAAGGTATCCTGTAAGGGTCCTTGCAGGTCGGCCTCTCTGGGTCCTGTCATAGACACTACTCCGTCATCTGCAAGTTGTCTCAACGTGCAGTTGTCCCTTAGACAATTGTCAATTTCTCTGACGTAGAAATTATACAGAAGGGGGCTTAAACATGAGCCCTGGGGGAGACCCATGTAGCTAAATCGTGAAGCTGTAGAGTTTCCATGAGAAAAGCTCATATGTTTCTCTGACAGCAAATTGTACAAAAAGTTATTAATTAATGGAGAAAGGCCACAAGCGTGAAGTTTGTCTGAAAGGACTTCAACCGATACTGAATCAAAAGCCCCCTTAATATCCAAGAAGACAGAAGCCATTTGCTCTTTATTAGCAAAAGCCAACTGAATTTCAGTGGAAAGCAACGCGAGACAGTCGTTCGTTCCCTTGCCCCTACGGAAACCAAATTGAGTATCTGAGAGTAGGTGGTTCAACTCAACCCATTTGTCCAGGCGAAAAAGGATCATTTTCTCCAACAATTTTCGAATACACGATAACATCGCAATGGGACGATACGAATTGTGATCTGACGCGGGTTTTCCAGGCTTTTTAATGGCTATAACTCTCACCCGCCTCCAATCATCCGGAACTATATTAAGCTCCAGGAACTGACCAAACAAGTTCAACATGCGCCTCTTAGCGACGTCTGGGAGGTTCTTCAACAAGTTGAACTTGATTCTATCAGCCCCCGGAGCCGAATTGCCACACGAAAGGAGCGCGAGTGAGAGCTGCAGCATTGAAAAAGGCTGGCTGATCTCGTCTACCGAATTCGTCGTTTCGCGAGGAATCATCTGTGCCGGCACAGAATCAGGACATACTTTTCGCGCGAACTTGAGAATCCAACTATCGGAGTACTCCTCGCTCTCGTTGTTTGAAGACCGGTTACGCATCCTTCGCGCCGCATTCCAAAGCGTATTCATCGACGTTTCGCGCGATAATCCGTCCACGAATTGCCGCCAGTATCCGCGTTTCTTGGCTTTGATGAGGCTCTTCAGTTCGCGTTCAAGAGCCGAGTATGCTTCGAAATGTACGGGTGTTCCACGTTTCCGGAAAAGCTTAAACGCGTCGGACTTTTTACGATAAACCTCAGTGCATTGCTGGTCCCACCAAGGGGAAGGAGGTTTCCTACGGAAAGACGTTCCTGGAACCGGCCGAGTTTGAGCTTGAAGCGCGCTGTCCAAAATCAGATTGAAGAGGAAGTTATATTCCTCCAACGGTAGAAGCCCTTCTACCGACGTAAGGGCATCTTCTATCACATTCTTGAACTTTGTCCAATCGATATTACGGGTAAGATCGTACGCGACGTTAACGGGTTCTGACGGATTGAACCCACTGGCAACTGAAACTTTGATCGGCAAGTGATCACTACCGTGGGGATCTTGGATCACATTCCACATGCAATCCAACGATAATGAGTTAGAGCAAAGTGTGAGGTCTAATCTACTTCCATTCGAGGATGGGCCAGCCAAACGTGTTACTTCTCCATTGTTAAGAATTGTCATATTAAAGCTGTCGCAGAGGTCATATATCAAAGTAGAACGGTTGTCATCATACAGTTCCCCCCAGCCTGTACCGTGGGAATTAAAATCTCCTATAATCAACCGTGGAGCAGGAAGTACTGAACATATATCTGAAAGTTGTTTTCGATTAACAACGGCTCTAGGAGGAATATAAACAGAAGCAATACAAAGGCTCTTACCTTTAATAATAGCCTGACATGCGACAACTTCAATACCTGTAAATTGTGGAAGATTCACTCTATAGAAAGAATGGCACTTTTTGATCCCCAAAAGTACCCCTCCTCCACGCGAATCCTCACGATCCAGTCGAATAATGTTAAAATCATAAAAAGGAAGATCTATATCTGAAGAGAGCCAAGTTTCACAAAGAGCAAATGCATCACAATCATTATTGTGAACTAAAAACTTAAAAGAATCTAATTTCGGAATAAGACTTCGACAATTCCACTGTAGAACAGTGATCAAATCCCCGACCTCGTTTGGAAAATTATCCATCGAACGAAATGATTGCTGCAATGAGGGGCCACTTCAATGTCAATTGCTTCAAGAGGGTCTTCACAGAAGGAAGCATTGCCAGAACAATGCTTTTGAGAGGATCAGAAATATTGAGGTACTTGAGAATATCGTCCACAATTTTATCAAATGAGAACAACCCGGATGAAGAAGGGGCTTCTGTTCTTAAAAATGGGCCATCAGGGGTTTTTGATGTCCCCGGGAGAGATGGAAAATTCTGGTTATAATCAGTTCTGCGGAAACCAGGAGGAGTTGAAACTTCCTTTTTTCCATCACTCCTTGATTTGGGCAAGCTGATTTGGGGTTCCTTATCTGCAACTTTCCGCGAACGGATGCGTTTTCGTTTCCGTGCAGAACCTTCCGGAAAACTGAAAGAAACTCCCTCCTCAGCCAAGTCAGAGTCAGACTCGTCATCAGACAAAACAGCAAAGGGATTTTTGTCGTTGGTTGATGGTGTGGCTGTCTTTAGCATTGCTGCAAAAGACTGCATGGAACGCTCCTTAAGAGAGCGTTCTAGTTTCTCCCCGCGTTGTTTGTACGCCGGGCACGACGAGAGACCATGAGGAGTTCCCTTATAGTACACGCATTTTGGTGCAGTGACTGTGCAGGCGCCATCCTCGTGCTTCTCCCCGCATTTGGAACAGCGTGCCTTGCTGCCACAGTGAGAGGCCGTATGTCCCAACTGTTTGCAGTTTTGGCAGGTCATGACCCGAGGAACAAACAAACGCACAGGTAGCCGAAGTTTTCCCAACTCGATGTAGTGAGGAAGGGCTGAACCAGAAAAGATCACCCGAAACGAGTCTGTGGGGGTAAAGCTCTTTTTACCCTCGCTAAAAGATACTGAGTTCAGCTTCTGGACTTCCAGTATCTCAACCGTGGGAAGCAAGGGGTTCTTGAAACGGCCAACCGCTTGCTTCGCCAAGATCTCGGGGGTCAAACTCGCTTCGGTGACCACACCTTCGATCTCCACATTACGAGCTGGGATGTACACTCTATACTCGAGTGTAAAGAGCTGGGAGGCAGCAATCTCGTTAGCTTGTTTCAGGTTAGAGACGACAACGCGAAGTTTATTGTACCTCACCTTCGAGATTTCGGTCACGGCCGAGAACCGCTTCGTCAGATCATTAGTAATTTGCATTACATTCAAAGGTTTCTTTTTGGGCTGAAAGTCAACAACCCATGGGCCAGTCGAGTCTTCTGGGTAGGCTCGCGATCGGGGGCTTATCTGTCCCTGTCCATTACCAGACTGAGATGACGAAGCAGGGGTGGCATCATCTGGTTTCTGGGATGACAGACGTTTTCGACCCTTCTTGCTATCGCGTGGCAAAGTGGTGTCATCTTCTGACAAAACGTCCATTTCGTCTTCCGACAAAATGTCCATTTTGCCGTACTAGTGGGAGCGAAAAACGTTCTACCACTGCAACGATAATCAAAATTACTCGGACACAATACACGAAGAAAAAAAAAATACTAACACAGAAACACAAACTTAAAATTCAATAGATGGGAGAAAGAAAGAAACAAGAACAAAAACTTATCTGATAATCCTATACTACTATCACCGAGCGTTTACACAGCAGCAGCGGAGCGACGCGCAGCTTTGATGATCTTCGATCCGCGTGTGCGGGCGGTCTTCGTTGATGTGTGCTTGTATGAAGCTCGGCACTCAGCTGCACACACGATGATGGATGAGCGGTTTGAATGTGGAGGCAGATGCTGACACTCGATGACGATGATCCGTGTGCACAGGTATGCGTGACCACGCACCGATGGTGCGCAAAATGATTGGCGAATTGCCAATCGCAAAAACAATTTTCGATGATGCCGAAAACACACTTTCTTCTCAGAAAAAAACTCACTTTTTGATAAATTTATCGGGAATTATGCCAGGAATCACTAAGCGAGAAAAACTGATTATTTACGTCAGATAATAGCGAGAAAACTTCCAAATTAACGGAGCGCGTAACAAGTCGACCGTACTTCTTGCTAGGACGCAGTGGTGTGTGAACTGAAATTTGCAAACAGTTTGATTGTTTGCCAAAAACTACTGTCAGGCGCTTGCTTGAACTTAGACAAGAAATCCATCCACCCCTACGCATCAAATTCTTGAAAATCAGCATACGTGAAGGACATGTTGATTGCTGGGATAAACTTTGCCGGCATCTAGCAGCCAACCAAAACGGAAATGGATTTTCACATTCCATTGATTGAAATCCATCCGTTGAAATGGGTTATCTGTACTTTCCCTGCTTCACCACCGATGACACACGACATGACGCAGATAGAAAAAAAAATACAGATATATATACATTAAAGTAGACATTTCGTTGATAGACATTTAAGTCCCTTCTCCTAATCAGAATCTCATTCTCCCGAACAGGAAACCATGCGCCGTGGGACGGTTCAGGTGGAGCTGGGTGAGATGGAAGGTATGGTTAAATTTGGCTGGATCAAAGGTGTCCTGATGCGATGCTTGCTGAACATCTGGGGCGTGATGCTGTTCCTGCGGCTGAGTTGGGTCGTCGGACAGGCGGGTGTCATCCAGGGCATTTTGCTGATCGGAATTACAACCGTGGTGACAACGATTACAGCTCTCTCGATGTCGGCCATCAGTACCAACGGAGTGATAAAAGGCGGCGGAACGTACTACATGATATCACGCTCGCTAGGACCGGAATTTGGCGGCTCGATAGGATTGATTTTTTCGCTGGCCAATGCGGTGGCTTGTGCCATGTATGTGGTCGGATTCTGTGAATCGATGACCGACATGTTGACCTCCATTGGCTTTCAAATAGTAGACGGCGGTATTCAGGACGTTCGAATCATTGGTCTTATAACGATTGTGCTTCTACTGGGAATCGTCGTCATTGGCATGGAGTGGGAAGCGAAGGCTCAGGTTGTACTGTTGATCATTCTGTTGATTGCCATTGCTGATTTCATAATTGGCACGCTAATTGGACCAAAATCCGATATGGACGTCGCGAGAGGTTTTGTTGGGTACAATGGTAGGTGTTTCGATGAGCGATTATGCTTCGAATCTAATTAATTTCCTTGTATTTTCAGGAACGCTTTTACTAGAAAATCTCCAGCCAGACTACCGACCGGTGAAGGGTATTGAGCATGATTTCTTCTCGGTGTTTGCCATCTTTTTCCCAGCTGCGACCGGTATTTTAGCAGGTGCCAACATCAGTGGTGATTTGAAGGATCCATCGAAAGCCATTCCCAAGGGTACGATCTTGGCCATTATCTTGACGACTATATCGTACATCGCAATGGCCATCATGGCAGGAGCAACCGTAACGCGTGATGCAACTGGAAATCTCACCGACATAGCTAACGGATCGTGGGCATTTGCTGATTGTGCTCCCGAACAGTGCGAGTATGGTTTGCACAATTCATTCCAAGTCATGGAACTGGTGGCAGGCTTTGGACCGATCATCTATGCTGGTTGTTTTGCAGCCACGTTGTCTTCGGCACTTGCCAGTTTGGTATCTGCACCGAAAGTCTTCCAAGCCTTGTGTAAGGATAAACTATATCCCAAGATCGGTTGGTTCGGCAAGGGCTTCGGAAAGAACAACGAACCGGTTCGAGGATACATTTTGACGTTCATCATCTCCGTGGCTGTGATTCTCATTGGAGAACTGAATCTGATTGCTCCATTGATTTCAAACTTTTTCCTTGCTGCATACTGTTTGGTAAACTTCAGTACATTCCACGCCAGTTTGGCCAAACCCGTTGGGTGGCGACCAACCTTCAAGGTAAGTGATCCACGCTTCTTTCTTACAAGCCAAGTGCTTATCAATCTCCCTCAATTTCAGTACTACAACATGTGGCTTAGCTTGGTCGGTGCCATACTCTGCATTGCTGTTATGTTCTTGATTTCGTGGCCAACAGCTTTGATCACATTTGCAGTTGTGCTCACTCTGTACCTATTCGTATCCTACCGCAAGCCGGATGTTAACTGGGGCTCAACAACTCAAGCGCAAACCTACAAGAATGCACTTATGTCCGTCCAACAGCTGAACAATGTGGAAGATCACGTCAAAAACTACCGACCTCAGATCCTAGTCATGTCTGGCCACCCCAGTACCAGACCACTCCTGGTTCACTTTGCCTACCTGCTTACAAAAAACCTTTCGCTGATGGTTTGCGGACAGGTGAACAAAACGCAAACTTCCCAGAAGTACCGGCACTACTTGCAGCGTAAAGCTACCGACTGGTTCCGGCGGCACAAGGTCAAGGGTTTCTTCACCTACGTCGACGATAATGACTTCGAAACGGGAGCCCGAGCGGCAATGCAGGCCAGCGGTATCGGCAAGCTACGACCCAATCTGCTACTGCTGGGCTACAAGAACGACTGGAGCAAGTGCGATTCGGTGGAACTGGAGCAGTACTTCAACGTAGTGCACAAGGCACTGGATATGTACTTATCGGTAGCAATTCTGAGGGTTGCCAAGGGGCTCGATTACTCGCAGGTGCTTGGGGAGGACACCACGGTGAAGCACATTGCTGAAGCGCCACGTACGATGTTGCACAACGACAGCTTCAACGATTTGGCTGGACAGAACAAGATTAGCTCCCTGCATGGAAGCTGCGATTCGTTGAGCCACAACATCTCACAAGGTAGGTGTGTTGGGACTTTCGGCATGGGCCCATGTATATATTGAGCATGTGTATGATAGGAGTGGGAAAATCCACCTATCGCTATATGCAATGTATACAACAGTCGAAGCTTACATTCGTAATCTTAGAGTAAGGCATGTTGGCACACTTCAGTGATGCGCACAGTGGGATCGTTATGGAAAAAGACGGTCAAATCCCTTTTTCACATTTTTTAAAGATTTACAGGTTAGTTGTCTTCTAAGAAGTTACTCCGCATAGTTTACAACATTCACCAGAATTTTAACTTTTTGAATTTTTGAGATAGCGGATAAAGCTGTAGAACTAATATTCTAAGAAACATAGCTCCCGGCACAACATTTCAACATCTTAAATATACAAAAAATATAATTAGTTTCCTCTCAGGACTACCTTAAAACTAGATTTTTGAGTTATTTAGTGTTTTATTCATATTTCATCAATCCAATATGTTAAAGAAATTTTTAATAAGCATCATAATAAGTCATTTTTTCTGAAAACACCAACTATTTTTTATAACACCGATGTCATATACAGTAAATTCAAAGTAAAAATAGACCAATATTCTGAACAGTTTTTTTTTTATGTGAATGTTTGTGAACCAGCTCTTAAGGTCCAAATGTTTTCATAGTTTAAAGCTTAAGCATACAACATATTGAAACCGGGCCTCGTCGGGTACATCTTTTTTTTTGCTACTTTGTACATGCCCGTTTACTAAATATTTTACATTAATCTCATATAATACGTCAGTTAACTGAGAAATCTGGCTTATATGACGATGTGGTGCTACACCTTTATGTATAATCACAGTTACCTGCGTATTATTTGAGAAAAATGTAAAATATTGACTAATTGGCAATATATTAAGTAGCATAAAGTAAGATGTACCCAAGGGTCCTGATTTAAATTTTTTATATGCTTTAAACTATTTACCAATTTATTGACGTTAAGATTTGGTATACAAACATTCACAGGTTTGAAAAAAATGATCAGAAAATTGGACTAGTTTTTTTTTAAATTTGTTAGTGACTTCAGAAAATTTCCTTATTTCAATGTTATCTAAAACTTTCTAGAACGTATTGAATTGATCGAAATTGAATAAAATACTAAATAACTAAAAAAAACTTGTTTCAACCGGTTCAGTTCTAATTTCGGCTGAGAATCATTTTAACACTTCGATAACACTTCGTGCCTTCGAAAAACGTGTAACGGCAAGTTTTCAATGTCAACACTTGTGTTACCACTAGACCTCCTAGGGTCTATATATTATTTAGATTGTATATAAATAGAAAATAGGGTCTTCTCCTTTTTTTAAAAAAGTCGTAAACGTTTTTTAAGGTGTGTCTACGGGTTTTGCAAGCAGCTTAAAATATAGCACAAATGTTGATATGTAGACTGTAGATATGTACAGACATAGCTACATAGTACTTCGATTCGCTCGTATAGGCCCTAGTAATTTTTGTTTACAAAAAAATGATAGGCCCTTTTCAAATGTTACACGAGGCTTCTATATATGGAGATAACGGAATGGTCTTCCGGAAATTCCGCAACATCCGTTCAAGTTGTCAATTCGCGAAACTAATCCTAGAGCTCCGTGTTTTTTTTTTCTGAAAACATTAGGAACTGTGATATAAGAATTTGAGGTCGTGACATAAATATGGACCCAGATGGCTATAGGACCGTCCTCTGGAAGATCTGGAACATCCGCAAAAATGGTTAATCCACGAAACTAGTCCTAGAGTTCCGTAGTTTCTTCTAAAACGCTTGGAACTGTGATATAAGAAAGAATTTGTGATAGTAGCATAAACATAGACCCAAATGACCATGGGACCGAATATCGAAAGATCCGGAACATTCGTAAAAGTGGTCAATACAGGAAACTGATCTTAGAGCTCCGTGGTTCTTTCAAAAACACGTGGAGCTGTGATGTAAAAAAGAATTTGTGGTCGTTACATAAACATGGACCCGAATGGCCATAGGACCATCCACTGGAAGATCCAATATATATTAGGTTGTCCAAAGTGTTTGGTGTTCAGATATTGAAGCTATATAGAGCATATTAAGTATTGAATGATATCCAGACTGAATGTGAGGTCCCATATAGATCCGCGGAGCCCCATAATAACACGTAGGACATATATTTGTAATTACAGTTCTAATAATCAAAGAGTTTTGTTTTTGAGGTTCTACAGGCTCAACAACGATTCTCCAAATGCTGGGAGTTCAGCTCTTGAAATTCTACAGGTTTAATGAAGTCATACATGATAATTCAACGTACTGCTTGGATCTCTCTGATCCACCTCATTCAGCTTGAATTTATTTTTGCATATCGAATGTATGGCCAAAATTATGGGGAGTCGCGCAAAATTCATTTTAAAATATGAAATAATATTGAGATATTGAAAAAAATGGGCACGAGCACTCCTGCCGTAGAACTTCACACAATTTAGCACATTTGTATTAACGATATATCTTATGTTCTTCCAAGCGTCCAGAAGTGCAGATATTGAAGTTCTGTAAGCTCAACAAAATCTTCTACGATGTTCCGTTAAAAAATTACAAGTGATCAAAAATTCAAACGAAGCCCTATAGACTAGCATATAGATATTCTCTCATCATGTATCAGGATGACCAGGAGTCATTTTGCTAACCTTAAAACCATCAGATATTTTATCATCATGTAACGTTTGTAAAAAAAAGTCCATAAGATGGATTATTTTGGAGACCTTTAAAGCATTAAATATAAGGTGGATTAGGAATCATTCTGATGTCCTATAACTTTTAAAAAATTCTGAAAGTCTCTTTAATAAAGAAAAATAAAAATAAAAAAATCAAACAATGTTCTTCAGATATTTGTTTGTCATATTAGGTTTACCATGAATTATTGAAAGACGTTCAGTCCTTCAGATATTCGATCAACATATTAAATTGATCAAAAATTATTCTCCAACAATTGGAGAGGGCTAGTTTCAAGATTCATTCGGCACATCATACAAGACATTGTTGATTCTGTAGAACTTCAAGATAATTACTGAAGAATAGTTTGTAGATCTAGATACATAGTGTCTACATTGAATTTCATTAAGCTTTAAAAGTTCAAAAATTGTCATCGTCAATGTCATCAAGTCATCGTACGATGCTTTATTGAATTTGTAGAACTTCAAGATTTTAATCCAGGATTTAGGCTCATTATTTGAAGAAAATGCGAAATCATAATTCTATTAGAATTTAGAGATCTCGATGAAGACCAAGATCCCTAAATTAATCTTGAAATCATGAAAATTTAATATTTTTTCTGCATAGTAGACGTATTGCAGAACAATTTTGCAGAAGAAATCATCTGATTATCTCTGAACATTGATTAGTAATAAACATATCCTGGGATCGAATTGGTTAATGTCGCCCTAGGAGAAAACCAATTGTATCTCATTAGGGTTAAGATTAAGCAATTTGAAGTCGTCTGAAAATATCTTAAAAATTAATAATTCTACAACTGTTACTGAACCCGTTATCTTAAAAATTCCGATAGTTAGAATTTGGTTTAGTAATCCTAGCTGAATAAAAATTCTGGTGACTTTTTCAAATGATGCGGAATTTCATTTAAAGCAAGTTCTTAATGTGGACCGTACACGATTGCTTTTATTGACAATAATCGTATTGTCAATACATTCAATATTGACGTCAATACATCGGTATTGACAATATTTTTGTATTCACATCATCAATATTAATGTCAATAATTCCACTTCGCGTCAATATATTGATACGTGTGGGGTTTGCTTAAAGGACACCTAACCTCTAAAACGTTAACAAAATGTGAGAAAAGGTTTTGACCGTCTTTTTTCAGAACGGCTCCACTGTGAAACGGTTCGAATTGTAGCTGTCTTATCTTTTAATTGTCATAGCTATCCTTATTCTATTTACGTATTTTCGTTAATTTGAAAACGTCACAATGCAGCTATCAGTTCAACACACTGCGACCGTTCACTGATCCTTACTCTGGTGCCCACCGCTCACAGGAATCGGAAAATAAACTCACTCTTAATCCTTTTTTCTCCTTCTTTTCTCTTCTGTATGCATAAATTTCATGTCTTCCCCGAACCACCACAACCGAAACCGAATGTGTGTTGCGTTGCATGAAAATTTCAAACCAAACTCGCACATTCTTCCCTTGGCACGAATTAATTAAATTTTTCCTCGGAAACAACACAACAATAACCCGCTCGAATGCAAACAAAATGACCCAAACAACCCGAACCATTCCCCCCGAAAAACACGCATATCACACATATCGTAAATTCACACGCCACCAAAACTCAACCCGGAACGGACCCTCTGGCGGCACACACACCCACACACACACACACACTCACACAGGACCCGAGCAGAACAATGTGCGCGAGAAGAATGAAAAGAATCTCAAAGGTGAGTAGGCATGAATTTGTCATCGGTGCTTCACTATGGCAACCAATAAAATAAATGTTGGAAATGCATGTTTGAACCAAATTTACCCAATCAATTTGAATTGCTGAACGAGAAATGTTCAACAAAATTTTACTGATTCCATGCTTACAGGAAACCCACATTTATTTATGTAAAATGTACCTTACCTTACTCAAATAAACCTGCTCACGTCCGCTATCATTTTGTCATTCCTCCAAACAGCCAGCAGCACCAGCGATTTGACCACCGGTACGCCACGTTTGCAGACCGTGTCCGGAATGCCCGATCCGCTGGATATCAACGCCAAGCTTTTGAACGTGAGTACCATCTCAGCTAAGAGAATTGTGTTTTACCGGTGTTTGTCATCCCTAACAGAACAAAAAAAAAACAACTACCATAAACTAATGGTAAAATGATAGAACTATTCCACAAACTGATGATATTCCGCTAAGCAAAACAACCATAACAATTTTATTAGGGATGCAATACTATAAGTTGAGTAAGTTTCGCACATTAGAAGTATAATACGAGCGACACACGGTCAGACTTGTCATACGGATAAGACTTGGATGAGTTTGACAAAAATCCTGACCGTTTGTGGTGTGAGGAAATTGTTCGCCCAAATTATAATCGGAATGATTGATTTTCTGCAGATCAACATGGGAGGAGCGAACATGAGTGTTGGATTTCTTTACGTGATTTACTAGACAATATGAAGGGTTGAATGTACTCCCTTAGCTCAGTCGGTAAAGGTGGTTCTATAAAGAAAGACCATGCTGGAGGTGGCTGGGTTCGATTGTACAGATTAGAAAGCTACTAATTAACAATTGTGGAAGTGCTCAAAGAACATTAAGTTGAGAGCCGGTGTAAAGTCCCAGTAGGGATGTAAGCCAAAGATGAAGAATCATTATAGTCAGAGTTTTATGGATGTTTTTTTTAATAACTTGCTTGGTAGTTGGTCAACTTCTGCAATCTTACTTACAACGCAGGATGTTCGGCTACCCGGGAATCGGCAAAAAAACTGAAGGTTCTTCCGGGGAATTCCTGGGAATCGGGAAATACCTTGATTCGATGATCATTTATACTGTTTGACCTAGTTTTTCATTTGATAGTTATTCAAAAGAAATAGAACTTCGTCCGGACTTGCACGAAAGTTTCCCGGTAATTTCTTCCAACCTCGTCCGAATTTTTTTCCAACGTTCTACATGTTTCTTACAACATTCCCCGTAAATATCTTTTGACTTCCCCGTAAATATCTTTTGACTTCCCCCAGAAGTCCTATTGACTTCCTGTTGAAGTGGAAATTGTTTCCTATTTCACACGGACGACTATTCTGATTTCTTATGGGAATTTCTTTCAATGGTAACCTAATAAACGATCACTAAAAAAAGGGAAGCTCCCATGGGGAGTTTCCTGATAGTGATAAACGCTTGGATAAACGTCACTAGAACTATTTCACAGCTGCAGACAGCATATGAGCAAGTCACATGCGCACTCCTTTGCCTGTGGATTTGAGTAAATACCTCATGTCCCCTCATCCATCAAAATATGAGTTAGGTAAAAGAGTGCGCATTTGGTTAGTTTTGTCGCATTAACGGCCGTTCGCTCATTTGCAACTTCTGTTCAATTTTCACACTGCCATACTCCTCTTCATAACTTTATCTCGCTAATAAATTATCGCACTAAAACTTCATGTTTATATTAGTATAGCATTTCTTCATAACTCGAACTTATCTGGAACAGACTAACAAAATCCCTGCGTGATTAATGTCCATGGTGCGGATTTATACATTAAAAATTAAAATTGAATCACCATTGCATTCACTTGATTCAGAAATGGCAGAAATCTATTCGGAATTTGTCCAACATATTCAAAATGAATACATTCTGCATAAGGCAGACGGGTCATGAATCATCATTCTCCATGATAACCATCGACAAACTGACATGAATGACTATCATTTCGCACAAATTTTCCTCCAGCCGATTCTAGCCACACAATAATTAGATATTAAAGGGTGTCCTACCATCAAATTGCATCACGGGAAAAACCCTGTAGAAAATTACCCATTGGGTATTTTCTCTTGAAAGTTTTGAGTAGAAGTAGTTTAGAGTGTATTGTTTACACTGTATTTTTATCGCTGTCAGTTTTTTGAAAGTTGGAATAAATAGCGTCACTCGAAAAGCAACGTCGCGAATTCATTTTGCGCCAGCAGCTGAAAAATCCTCAACTCTCTCATCGGGATATCGGAAAACAACTCGGAATCGTGCAGTCAACGGTCAGTCGTGTGATTAAACGTTATTACGAAACTCTGAGCATCGAACGGATGGAGAAATGCGGTCATATTGGATGTTCTATTAGTGATCAGGATCACAAGTGTGTCGTGAAAGCGTTTAAGCGGAATCCCAATGCTTCGGTCTGGGATGTGGCAAAAAAGCTGAATCTGTCCAAGTCTTTCGTTCAGATATCCAAGGACCAGGAGGTACTGCATACGTACAAAGTGCAGAAGGCTCCAAATCGTTACGAACGGCAAAATACGGCACCCAGATGCTGACGAAGTCTCATTGTCTCGTCATGGCAGACTGTCGGCAGCTTCCTGGGCGGGGCTGCTGTTCTTCACCGCCCAGCACAAGTTTGATGCTCCGGAGGAAGTAAGGAAGCAAAAACTTTCAAAGTTTGCCAAGAAATACATGATTTTGCAAGCGATCTGCTCATGTGACAAACAGAGTGTGCCGTTCGTGACTACCGGGACTGTAAACGGAGAGATCTACCTCAAGGAGCGTCTACAGAAGCGTCTGCTTCCTCTGTTGAAGCAACACGAGGGCCCTACGATCTTCTGGCCGGATCTAGCTTCGTGCCACTATTCAAATGTTGTCCTGGAGTGGTACGAAGCCAACTTTCGTACCCAAGGACATGACCCCCCAACGCACCGGAACTAAGGCCCATCGAGAGATACTGGGCTATTTTGAAGCTGGCACTACGGAAGCATCCCAAGGAGGTCAAATCTGAGGAAGACATGAAGAAAAAGTGGGTTTCCGTACAGAAGAAGCTGCAGTCAGATGTTGTACATAACCTAATGAGTGTACTTAAGCGTAAGGTGCGAGCGTACGGTTATGGTATTGAAGTTGAATGAAATAAATATGAAAAAGCTTACTTATAGGTTACATTTTATTGTCTGAAAGTTTGAAAAGGATCGGTCAACTAGGTAATTTTCTTCAGCGTTTTTTTCCGTGATGCAATTTGATGTAGGACGCCCTTTATATTAGATTTTTTAAAGTCCGCAGACTTTCCTGTAACTTGCTGAGATTTCCGTAAGTTTGCATAACTTTCCTAGTATAAGCAAACTTTACTGAAGTTACCAGAATGTTTATAAAGCTCAACGCACTTACTGGAGATGGTGGAATATTTTTGAAATTCACAGAATTTTTCAGAAATTCGCAGAATTCTTTGAATTAAGTAAATTTTCCTGAAGTTCATAGACTTGCATGATGTTCATAGTTTTGCTTGCAGTTCCTATATTCCCTTGGAGTTCCTAGATTTTTCCTGAAATTTGCAGAACTTTCGTGCAGTTTGCAGAACATTCAAAACTTTTGCTGAACTTTCCTGCAATACGCAGAATTTTCTTGGAGTTCTTGAAATTTTTCTGTACACTTCAAAACTTTCCAGAAATTCGTTCAAATTTTCTGTAGTTCGCAGAATTTTCCTGACGCTCTCCGACTTCTCTGAGATTGGCAGAATACTTTTGAAGTTCGCAGAATTTCACAGAAATTCGCTGACTTCGCATTCGTTCTCAAATTTCAGTGAAGCTCATAGATTTTCTTTAATGTAGTACAATTTTCTGAAGTTTAATAAAGTTTACAGATTTTTTTGAAGTTCGCATACTTGTTTGTAGTTCCCAGGTATCCCTGAAGCCCAAGTTTTTTCCTGAAATTTGCAGAATTTTTCTGAAATTTTCAGAATTTTATATGAGTAAGTAGAACCTTTCTGAATTTTTCAAAACTATCAAGCAATTTATAAAAAAAAAATCAGGATTTTTCGGAATTACTTTGCGCTGTGGCGATATCGTAACCAATGAGGTACAACCGAGGTCGATTATTGCTAGTTGAAAGAAGTTTTCGGAATATTCCTGAAGTTCCCTGAAGTTCACTGAACTTTCCTGAAGCTACCAGAATTTTCCTGAACTTTCATGTTCTTTCATCTCTGATTTTTTTTCTTAATTTTCTTGGAGTGTGCAAAATTTTTCCAAAAGTGATTTGACCTTTCTTGATGTTCGCAGAATATTACTGAAGTTTGCTTTATTTTAGTTTTCAGAACTATATTTTAATTGCGCACTATACTGGAGGAAACACACAGAGTTTTTTTTAGGAATCGATGGCAGAATAATTTTAGGGTTTGCAGTTTTCCTTGATTTTTGAAGAATTTTTCAGAAATCAACAAATTTTTCTGAATCTCGAAGAATTTTTCTGATAGACTTCCTAAAGATATTTTTCGCATGTTTGTAGAACGATCCGGAAGTGATAATGATGTTTTATACTAGTAAGTTACAAGAAGAGGTTATAATCTTTGTGCTTGGCACATAAAACCTGTCGATTTCGCATTTAGAGAGTCACAATCAGCAATTTTATGATCACTGAATATTCGCTCTTCGTGAAGATTCCATATTCAAGGATCATCAAATTATGACTCTCTGAAAACAAAATTGACAGCTTGCATGAGTCAAACCCATACTTTACAAAATATGACCATAACATCTAATGATTTCATAATTTCTAAAAAAAAAATATGTATACAATACAATGCCATTGCATTTTAAAAGAGGGTTAGAAAAAAAAACTTTATTTCAGCTTTGTTTAAGCAATACTCGTCATAATGATTCTAATTAAATTAAAATCTCATTACATCGTGCTTTTCATCGAAACATACCATCCAACCGTTACAGGAATCAGGAAACCGGTCGCTGAAGCGCACCAACAACGACCCGGCTCTGCTCTATCGCGGCCCGGGTGGTGCCGAACTGCCCAAGGACGTCCTGGACGAGCTGACGCAATTCACCAGCAAGAAGAAGCACGGTGTAATCGATGTCTACTGGCTGTACGATGATGGTGGCCTTACTCTGCTCTTGCCGTACATCATCAGCATCAGACGGAACTGGAGCTCCTGCAAATTGCGGGTGTTTGCCTTGGCCAATCGGAAAACTGAACTGGAATTTGAGCAACGGAACATGGCCAGTTTGTTGGCCAAGTTCCGGATCGACTACTCGGATTTGACACTGCTGCCGGACGTCAACAAGAAATCGTCGCCGGCCATGATGGGCTTCTTCAAAGAACTGATTCGAGATTTCACCGGCGATGATGGTAAGTAGCGATCGAACAACCATGCGTGTCCATTTGATCCAGGGTGCTGAAATTGAACGATTTTTTTTTACGTAGGTGTCATATCCGAAGCGGAGCTGCTTGCTGTACAGGATAAAACGAATCGCCATTTGAATCTACGAGAATACCTTTTGGAGCATTCGAAGAAATCAGATCTTGTCGTAATGACTCTTCCGATGCCTCGGAAGGGTGTCGTGTCGGCAGCGCTGTACATGGCCTGGCTGGAAACTCTGAGCCAAGGGCTTCCACCGTTCCTGTTCGTCCGTGGCAACCAGACCAGTGTACTAACGTTCTACTCTTAAGGTATCCCCATCCGCGTGACCCCCTTCTCACCATTTGTCAAGTATTTACAAGAAAGTCCAGATGTGTGAATGTGTATCACTTACAAAACTGTTTGTCGCTTATTGGAATCGTTCCAACTGTTGGGTACTGTGTTGATTCCCTTAGTTTTAATGCCTTCCAGCATTGAAGTCTTGAACCAGTAAAGTACGACTCCATAATTTATTTCCATTGCGGTTTCATTGAGCAAACGTAGCTTGTAAGAGGAACTTTTCACCAGCATAATAGAATATTACCAGGTGCCTTAATAATAGTTACATTGGAGTGGGCGCATAGATTTCGTGTAGAAAGCCCAGAACGTTATTGTTATAATCTAGTGCAGGAAGCGCGGGGGTGACAGAGGTTGAATAATTAATAATATTTTGACGAGCTGCTAATTGCCATCATATAGTGATGTTTCGTACGATTACGAAAAAGAAAAATTAGATTGTATTTCCATTAATTTGATTTTTTTTAAATAACACTTTTTTTCATTTTTTTTTCTTTTACACGGTTTAAACCAATTCTACAATAAAAGTTCAAACCATTACATTCATTTACGCGGATCAAACAAATCCTATTATCCACGTTCAAGTTATTACCTGGAAATGTTCCGACCTGACAACTCAACGAATCGGTCTGAAAACTTCATTCAAGGTAAGTAGATAAGTAATGCTCCCTCCCACACATGCATTCACTGCTCTGGCATTAGATTTACAAACGACCTACCTAATAAGCAGAAAGGCAAACTCTTTCCCCGCACTCTCCCGCCAGGGGCTCGGATTTCATGGTGAAGAGTAGGTATCACTTACTCTAGAGTGCATTCAGTTGTTTTTGCTTCTGCTATTACTGTCACGATTATGATTTCAACCTAAGCGAAATAAGAAAAATCATTAGATAGAGAGAGAGTGAAACTTTCTGGTGCAAACATAAAGTTAAAATAAAAGTTGAATACAATGGCAACGGGAAGCTTCTGAAGCAAAATGAATCACTTTTAGTTTTTTTTGCTGCAGTAAAAACGGATTATGTTCGCAAGTCACTATTAGTGATTCTGCGTGTGCTAAGTTAAAAGTTTACATTGAAGAACTTATAATGCTGAAAATGATTCATTTAATCCCAAATTTTAGAATAAAATGGACCATCATCACAGAAGAAATGGAAGACACATTGTCAGTATTACACAGTTAGGTCACCTTTGGAATGAAGCAAAATAAAAACTGAACTTCCGTTTCTAAAAAAATAAAGCTGAAACCGATAGTTTCTGAGGATCAGCTGATTCAATTTTTCAATAATTATTGTGAAACGACCCTGAGAACCATACCCTGCACGGTTACACTTCAAGTTCACACACTGATTTCGAGGCAGCAGGTTGTGCCTCTGTCGGTCACGCCATCGAAGGTTTGTATACTCGATACAAGTTATTGTGCACTTTTTACGCTGCCTGCTTACACTAATTGCTATTTTGCCTCCATTGCGCATTGGACCAGAAATTAAATATAGCAGGAAAAAAATAATAACGCTCTTTTATTGCATCCAATTGCATTGAAGTCTGCAGGTAAGCTTCTCGGATTAATTAGGACTACAATTTGGTTAAAGTTTTGGCCGCAAAGATGGCGCAGCGATACAATTTTATTTTATTTCACAAGATAGAGGTTTGCTGCCTCGGGTAAAGTTGTAGAACGTAAAATTTTATGAAAAGTTGCTGAAGACGTAAAAGCTATTCATCTTCAAATAACTGGGATATACAAAGTTTTATAAAATTTGACTGAAATTCACGTTTTTAGTATAACATTTTCAAAAATCGTTCAAAAGAATACTTTTATCATTTTTCTTCGATCGATACTGATCAAACCAATCTTTTCCAGATTAATGTTATTATTTAATAATACTTCTCATACATCAGTTGTTTGAAAATGTATACACACTTAGAAATAACTAATTTGAAACTCATATATGTTTACTTTAAGGATATTAACCTTAGATTGTAAGTTTGATTAACCTTGTGTTTAGTTTGTATTTTGTACGTGTGGGTTTTTTTTTCAATGTTTGTTATCAAGATGAATAAAAATAATTTCATGCTTTAGGATTAATTAAATAGTTGTATCGTAAACCACATTTCAAACCTCCTTCTTCCCTTTTCCCATCCAAAAAATTGTAAATCTCCACTAACCTCGAGAAAACCGCGAGTACTCGGTCCAGTTCCTTTAACTTTAAATATAAGACAGTAATAATGTATAACGCAAAGGATAACTCGGCTCTGTAAAGTTTATTCGATTGAGCCTGTACAAATAAAGTAATTACAAAAAAAAATAACTAATTTTACACGTGACGGAATCCATCTTTGACATAAAAGATGAGACGTAAACAAACATGTCATGTAATATTAAGTGCCCCGAGACTGAAAAGTTCGTTGCTCGACGAAAAGTACGTTTGATTAAGCTTTATTTCGCGTCTGTTATGACTCAAACTTATGTCAACATTGACGCTCGTATATGTCACTCTCAGAGCACCTAAATTTTTATGACTTTTTTCGAAGTGTGTAGCTTTTATATCTTCGATTTTTTTTATAATATGTTAAGTTCAACAACTTTGCCGAAGATAGCAAACCTCTGTTTGTATTGCTGTGCCATCTTTGTGGCCAAAATGTGTACTATTTTTATCCACCAAATTGTAGTCCGAATGAATTCAAGAAACTTCACTGCAGACGTCAACTCAATTAGATGCAGCAGATAGAAGCAGCATATCGGATCTCGGAGGAGGAAGCCGTCTTCGTTAAGTATAAGCCAGAGGAGTTTATGCCATCCTTAGAAACACAAGTTACGAAATAATTTCCAATTATGAAGATGAAAAGGCAGTGAAGGTTTGTATGTCGTCTGCGGGAAGCACCTTTCATTTCGTTCGAGTTTACGATTTACCACCTGAACTCTGAGATCGTGATTTAGCGTTGATGCTGGGGAAGTATGGAAAAGTTAAGCGGGAGATGAGTTTGAACACCGTCCGGTTGGCAAATTAGCCGGGGAAAGTGCTGATAATGGGTCCGTCGCGAGTTTTGGTGGTGATTCGAAGGCCGACATTGCCGTGAATCAGGAAGTTTTCCGCTTGCAAAAGTGCTCGTCTGCTGGTCTCTCGCCAGTGTCGGAGATTGTGAGCAATCTGAAGGATGCCTCGCTGGATACGCCCAAGACAGGACGAGCGGTAACATATGGCCGTGAACGGTTCCTGGAGAAAGCACTAGGCGCGAACCTACTCCCAGATGACCAGGGCAATGTAGGGGTATTTGCTATTAGATGTTTTTGCAGACAGTGACGGATGGCAGACATGAGTCTCAGGTGGTGGTGCCCGGCAAGTGTGTTGTATCTTAGACGGGTGGTAGGCTGTAGGTTCGCCGTTGTCGTCGTCGTATTCGCCGTCGTAGTCGCTGCCGTAATCGCCGTCGTTGTCGCCATAGGCAGTACCGTTGGTATATTTAAATTTAACCATCAGCCACTGAAACTATATGAATTATCGTGTATCTCTGTTGTTCATTACATACCAAGCAAAAAGTTAATCATATTTTGCCGTGGAGTGTTGTGGTTTTGAGATGCTCGATAACCCTAAAGGGGTCGGTTTTGCTTAGTGAGCAGAAAATCATGGGTTCAATCCCAAGCTCTCCCACAACATACACGCAGAAAAATGGATTTTTGTTTCAGGGCCTAATGTATTTTGTTATTGATTCAAACATATTGTATCACTATTTCAACAAAACATATTTTTAAATCATCAAAATGGTTTTTAGAATCAACAAACAGATTATTGACTATAAAACCGGTTTGTTGATTCAAAAATATTTTTCTTTGAATTAACCAAATAATATATTTGAAACAATACCAAAAATATATTAGGCCCTGGCCAAAAATATATCCATTTGAATTTAAAAATCGTGTGTGATAAACCGCCGAGAGCATAAACTTACTTACTTAAGGGTGCACCAGCGGTGCAAAGGGCCAACGTGAAAGACTTCCATCCTGGGCGGCTGCTCACTTTTGTCTTGACCTGGGCCCAGGTCAGATTCCTATCGACTTGCTTAATTTCTAATTGAGGCTCCACCCCCATGAGCCCCTGGGTCTGCCTCTGCTGTGATGTCCTGCCGGATTCCAATCCAGCGCTTGCTTGCAGATTTCGTTTCCGCCCCATCGAAGTGTGTGGCCGACCCACCTCCATTTTTGCTCTAGAATTTCTGTTGCTATCGGCTTCTGATGACATCGACGATAGAGCTCGGCATTCGAGATCCAGTTGTGAGGCCACCAGGCACGAATTATATACCGCAGGCATCGGTTGATGAAGACCTGCAGCTTTTGAGTGTTCTCCGCTGATACACACCACGTCTCGCTGGCGTATAACAACACAGATTTCACGTTCGAGTTGAAAATTCGGATTTTGGTGCGTTGACTTATCTGGTTGGATCTCCATACGTTTCGTAAACTCGCAAAGGCAGCCCTAGCCTTCTTGATTCGTGCACCTATGTCGCTCTTGGTCCCGCCGTCCGACGCTATTTGGCTGCCAAGATATTGGAAACTTTCGACCTTCTCCACTGCTTGCCCCGCTACCGTAAAGTTGGAAGGGTTGCCCGTGTTGATATCCAACGATTTGGTCTTGTTGACGTTGATGGTCAGACCCGCCGCAGAGGAGCGTTCGGCTAGGTCATTGAGCTTACTCTGCATATCAGAGCGCCGTTGTGCTAGTAGAGCAACATAATCAGCCAACTCGAAGTCGTTGAGATGCTCCATGGTGATAGGCTGCCAAAGCAGCCCACGGTTCGGTACACGGTCAATTAGTGTAGGTGCCATGATCTCGTCGATTACGATGAGAAACAGTAGCGGTGATAGTATACATCCTTGTCTCACACCAGCGACTACCCGGATAGGGTCGGACAAGGCTCCGTTATGCAGAACTCTGCACGTGAAAGCCTCATACTGCGCTTCGATGAGGTTGACGATTTTAAATATCCGGGACTCCCTTGCGTCTCAGGGCGTCCCACAGATTCTCGTGATTAAGACGGTCGAAAGCTTTTTCGTAGTCAATGAATACCAAATAAAGGGACTCTTGGAATTCATTGACCTGCTCCAGGATGATGCGGAGCGTGACAATATGGTCCACACAAGATCTTCTGGCACGGAATCCTGCCTGCTGCCGTCGGAGAGTCACGTCGATCTTCTCCTGTATCCGATTCAGGATAACTTTGCACAGAACTTTGAGAACAATACACAGTAGCATGATGCCTCGCCAATTGTCGCACACAGTCAGATCCTCCTTCTTTGGGACCTTCACTAAGATGCCCTGCATCCAGTCGGCTGGAAAAGTCATGGTGTCCCAGATATTACAG